GTGTGTGTGTGTGTGTGTGTGTGTGTGTGTGTGTGTGTGTGTGTGAGTGTGTGTGTTTGCGTGTGTGTGTGTGTGTGTTTGTGTGTGGCGTGTGTGAGTGTGAATCTGTGTGATGACTTGTGTGTTGCCGAATGTAATCACGCTGGGAGAAGATCGATGCCGCCGAACGCACCCGTTAAGGAGTTAAGCAGGAACTTCAGGATGGTGGTGGTACGGTGGATATGGTAGAAGAGCCGTCGGTCTGGACGAACGCAGGCTGCTTCCCACATATCTGGTAAGGTAGTGGTTGCTTTAGTTCACACGCGCCAATCCCGAGCTCGAATGTAATCGGTGGAAGTGTTAGATTGTGAATTTAAAAACATTTCCATGGCTCATTTCCGCAGTCGCTAACTTCCAGCATGAACTGCCTTTCTTCTTTGCTCCCCCCTTTCCTCTCGCGGATGTTAAAACCCTGTTGCACCAGGCTCACGGTCACTTCCTGACCTCCGATGGCATTTTCGGCCCCATCACCGAAGCTGCGGTGAAGGCGTTCCAGCTAGCGAATTCGCTCACTGCCGACGGGATCGTGGGTCCGTTGACTTGGCCGGTGCTCATCGTCACCGTGCAATCAGGTTCCTCGGGTGCGGCGGTCCATGCTGTCCAGGTACGACGAATCTATACCTCCCCTCCCTTTCTCAAGCCCTCTTGCTTGCAGGTATGCCGCAGCAGCATTCTCTCTTTTTTTCTTTCTTTTTTTTAATAATTTGGGCCATTTCTCGATTTATGCGTGTCATCCTTGCGTAGGGGCCATGCTAATCTTCTCGTTACAATTTTGACGGATGTCCCGAAGGACAGCATTCTCTCGTCGTTGTCCTGCGGTTTTGTTTTTTCCTTGCCCTTCCTTCCTTCTTTCTTTTTTTTTTTTTTTATGGGCTCTTTTGTTTTCTTTTGTTTTGCCCCAAAAAGCTTTTTTGGGTTCTTTTTTTTTTTTTTTTTTTTTTGCCCCCAAAAGCTGTGTATGTATTGTCAAATGAAAGTACGGCAGGCAAGTGCCTGGAAGCTAAGCTAGAATACCTTTCTCGGCCGCTTGGCTAAGATCAAGGGCCGGGCGTCGCCGCACGGGACACGAAACAAAGAACGAAATGGCGAGGTTCATCGGTTTGCTGTAAATGGTAACGAGTGTATTTTGCCACCTTTCGTGGCCAGATGCACTCGTTTCGTTTTCGTTTCGTGTGCCGTGCGTGCGGCAAGACCCCAAGTGTAGTATTCGGGGGAAGAAGGTAGAGCTTCGGGGGTGCTCGGAACTGAAAAATGTGACACTGCCGCTCCTTGTCTTTTGGTCACTGTATTTTTTTTCTCCTGCTTGAAGTATCTAAAACAGAGCTATAAAAAATGTGCATTTGTTATATTAAATTGTTCTGTGCATTTGTTAAATTAAATTGTTCTCTCTGCTGGTTGCAGTACCTGTTGGCATACAAACACAACCTGCTGGCTGTTGCGGGCATTGACAGTCTGTTTGGACCGATAACAGAAGGGGCCGTCAAGTCCTTTCAGGCTAGCAAAGGTCTCACCCAGGATGGAATCGTGGGCCCCTTGACTTGGGAAGCTTTAGTATCTGGTAAGAAACTCACTCAGCCAGAAAACGCCCCCCTTTACACC